TAGAAACACACACACATGACTGTGTCAATGGGGAGAGATTTACAGCCGAGATCAGGCAACACACGTGAAGACGCCTGGAATCAGGATCGATGTTCTCCAGTCTGAAAGCCATGCCTGGACAAAGAAGCTCCAGGTGTGCAGTTTCCGAAAGGAGTGTTATGACACAGTCGTGCGTATGCTTCTATCTCCAAGGATCTGCGAACGTGCTATGTCGAGCGGGCTTCGGGCAAGCGGATTCTAAATCCTCGGTCGGCAAGCGCAGTTCCTCGCAAGCGAACTCGAGCCAAGCCGATCAAGAAGAAGCTGAAGAAGCGCAAGGTGAAGAAACTCCGTGTCCCCACGCAAGCCGAGATCGATGAAATGTGCGGGGCCCCATCCGACGAAGAGTTGTGCTCGGCTGATTTCGGAGACGATCGTGGAGGCGACGGGTTCGTCAATGAATGTTGCCCTGATTTTGACGGTCTCTTCGACCCAGAGGATAACACAATCACAGATGATTCACCTGGCGAAGAGAGTGACTGGGCTTAAGCCCCAGATCCTCACAGTTTTGATCTCGCAGTTTTGATAAGCACCTCTCTTCTCTTCAAAAGAAGGAACGCCATATCATCGTCCATTGTCATTGATGATATCTCCAGGGTGTCCTGGACCAGGCTGTCTCGTGAATCGCCTGGGCTCTCCCTGGAGAGTGGATTGTGATCGAGACCTTTTTGCCAGTTGATGGTGGTCCACCTTCTCGTGGTGACTGGTGTTAGTAGGGCATGGCGGGTGCTTCGTGAGCATGCGCTGCATCCGAAGCTAAGAGACTACCAAAGAGATGCAACTCTGAGCATACATGGTTGTTACAATACAAAAGCGTACAATAGAATTTCAGAGTGTAGCTCTGAACATAACCGCTCCTGGAAAATCTGCGAGGCCGGCGGCTTTGCCACCAAGTGGGGCTTCCGCCTTTGAAGAAACAAAGGCAGCGTTTCCAAAACGCACAATCACGGCTTTTCTAAATGTTCAGAGCTTTGACAAACGGCAAAGAATTTGCCACCAGGTGGCTTTCCCGAGGAAAATGCTTTCGCGAGTTTCTGAGGCGCTCTTTCCTCTAGGTCCAACATGTCTGTGCGACCTCCCCTTGGGTCGGCGCTGCGTGGCAGAGCGAGGTCGTATCCAAATTTCCTCAGAGAAAAGCTCACGATCAACATCTGAAACCGAGGGCTCAACGAGGTACGGGTTTTGTGCGTGAAAGTCTGCGGCTTCCTGGTCCCCCCCGATGGCAAACCTCCATCGAGTATTACCCCGCGAAGCCGTGAGGCTTTGCAGGAGGGTATCATGGGAGCGCCACCCCCACTCATTGTTGCCAGGATACGGTTTCCACAAAACCTTGGTGATGGACCACGTCCCAGAGCTCGGCCCCACGGATCCTGCATTCCAAAGGCTCCAGTTGCTTTCAGCGAGAAGCGCGATAGCGCTCAACTGTTTTAATCTAGTTCTCAAACCTTTGCGGCTTGGCGTTGCTGTCCAAAGAGATCTTCTGAAAGCAACCAGGTTCCACTTCTCAAGGGCAGCAGGCTCTGAGGAGTTTACTTCCAGAGAGCATCGGGTGCATCACCGTCGGAGAGTCGGAAGACTGATCGATTCTTTTTTTCATAGAGGCCCGCAAACGATCTACACAGGCACAAAGAAGGATCGCCCAGGTCGCGCCACCCACCAGAGATCCAGAAAGTCTCTTGCACGAGAGACAGCGACGTAGCCCACTCCAGGAAAGTTGCCGTCGCAGGGCAGGACCACAATGTGAGGCAGCGTGCGCCCCTGCATCTTGGCGATGGAGACGGCGCAGGCTGCGACCAGCGGAAAGCCACGCGCTTCACCACCACCACGTAAGCGCATCCGAGCAAGGGGCACAGCGACTCGATCCTCAGAGTCCAGTCGCTGCACAACGATGCAAGCCGAGGTGCGGTGAATGATGTGTCCAAACAGCCCGTTCACCAGACCCGACTGCTTGCCCACGTTCGTGGTTACCATGCAGCGCTGCTCGGCATAGACCTCCTGATCCTGAGCGCCCAGATCGTCCACGCAGCGCACGCGCCCGATCGGGCGATTGCCCCCGTGGACAACCCGCAAAATCTGCTCGTTCAGCTTCGCCGCATCGGATCGTCGCCATGCGAGAAAAAGTGCATATGGGAATCGTTCCAGATGTACTTGGATCTCGGCGTCCGTTGGCCAGGCGCCTGCAGCCAGGATGCGCTCGCCAGTGAGAGCTCGAAGGGTGCGTCGATCAGGAGGCCTCAGGCGCGCAGCTCGCACAGCATCTCCGAAAGCTCGAGAGCCAGCAGACCTATAATTGATCTGCAGCTCGAAGCGAATGAGACCATGAAAGCCGTGCGTCTTATCCCAGCGCTCTAAGCCGCTGGTAGGAGGCAGCTGAGTGCGATCACCCACGAACGCTACAGTGAAAGACCGACCTTGGCGAAACCAGATGTCCATGATCCTCGCATACTGGTCGGCATCCAAAAAGAACGTCTCATCAACAAGAACAATGGCATACGGCAGAAACAGCACACTGTTAGAGTCGTGCATGCAAAACATGCCCTGCACAGTGTCTGTTGCCACGTCTGTCGGGGCCACGTGCCGTCGCAACGCATCTGCGAGCGCTCCCGCGGGGGAAGTCATAGCGCAATGAAGACCTTTAGAGACCGCAGCGCGCATGATGCCTGCAAGGAGCTGCGTCTTCCCAGAGCCAGCCTCTCCCTCCACCAAGAATGCTGAAGCGGGCTGGCCTTCATCTGCCGCCAGCTCAGCAGCCGTCAGCACTCGACCCACAATCCTCGCTTGCACCTCGTCCAGAACCACAGGCTGCAACGGCTCATCTTGTACTTCGCCATGGGGGCGAGCAAGGCAGAAGGCGACAAACTCACGCCAGCATCCCAGCTTATGGACAAATCCAGTCAGCAGGGTTCGACTAGCTCCGAACCTCTCCAGCTCGACGCGTGAAGTTCCACAGCAAGACCACACGCTTGGCCGCAAGCGCCAAGCAGAGGTGAACCACTGATGCCGCGACGGAGCACGCAGCGCATCTTCGTGCACCCAGTCATTTGCAGCACGAGCTGGTACAAAAGCGGTCAGCCACTGCCCGAAGAACTTATCAGAGTCTCGGGGCGCCCAGTGAACAATTGCTGCTCGCAACCGCTGGTCTGAGAAAGGCGCGGGTGGCTTCTCCTGGAAGTTTTGCCGCCTGGCCCAATCCAGGAAACAAGCCTCGAGGTCAGGTCCACGACGGAAGTACGCTTCATAAGCTGAGTCGCCCTCACACTCATCAGGGCGTTTCACGTTCACTCTGTGAGCAGGCGCCGACATCCACATCGTGTTACCATGTGAGAGCGCCTGCAGCATCTGGCACACGCCTGGGTGCGTGCACCGCAGGAGCGTACACGCAGCATAGAACGCAGCGTTATTGCCACCGTGAAGCCAGTTAGTCGGAAGCGTATCAGAAGACTTGGAGACATATGCTCCTAGTTTGTTCATGTACGCATGCACGTGCGCCGTGCTCTCCACTATCTGAAAATCCTGGTGCCCCAGCTGGGCTAACATCACTGGCTCGAGGTAGGCTCTCACGCCAAGCTGCGCCGCTTCCGAGGTAATCTCTGGCATCGCCAGGTGGCCGTCGGAAACTTCGACCGTACTGGCACTGCGAGGCCCAAGTGGCTGTCCTGAGTTCTTCGGTTGCCGTGCGACGAGGTCTCGGGTGCGAGCGTCTGTGACGAGACCCTGCCGAAGCCAGGAGGCCAACGCGCACTTGTGGACTTCACGGAGCCAGACGACAACGTGAATGCGAGGAAGGCCAGTGCCATGATATGGCTGAGTGGCTTCCTTTCGAGAACCATCTTGAAACTCGAGTCTGGCAGCCCAGGCCTTCACCATGTTCTTGTGCCTTCCGCTTCCCAGAGGTGTCCAGCAACTCGGGCCACGCAGCACTTCCTTTGTACCAGTGAGATAACCACGAACGGGTTCTCTGAGTACGTGCTGGAGATGCAGCCGCTCCAGATATCCTGGCTGCCCTTTCCCTTGACCAGCGTCCGCCCTCGCAAAGAGAGACGACGCGTGTTCGGGAAGAGTGTAAACGCCAGGAGCCAGAGTCCAAAAGACACTTGCAGGGCCGAGCTGACGGTGCAGATCTCTGAGCGAACCCAGGCGCTCTCTGTAATACAGACCAGCCTCTGGTATGTCGGCAAGCTTCCAGCGTAAATCTCGACTCGCCTGCGCACCTCTGCCGGCAAAGCGCGCGAGCATGTGGCGATCACATTGCCACTGCAGCAAGCCAAAGTTGAACTGATAGTCCAACACAGGGCCGCACAACTTTGTCAGGTAGCTTCGCTTTACTGATGCGTGTGCGGACTCCCGCCCTGCCCATCGAGTGTCGAGGAGCTCTTCCGAGAAGTAACGGTCGGGCCACAGAGCAGTCTCAATCAAGCCCGACCTCCAGCAGCCGCCACGAATTCACGAAGCTGCCTCGCTGAGCTGCAGTCGCCTCCAGCACGTAAGCTCTGTAACGACAGTTGTGCTGCATAAGCCATTGGTGAGCAACCTCAGCTCGAGACCGAAGGGGTTGCTCCAGCGCAGCGATCCGCTCAGACACCTCAAGCTGAGGCCAGCAAAGAGCAGCCATGCGAGCATGTCGCCGAACACCCTGTGCGCGTGGAGTCCACGGTGCCCCGATATGCAGACTCATAGGCCGCAACGCTTGTCGGACTTCGAGCTCAAGGCCGCGCAAAGCACCAGGCCAATGGTGAGGTGATGGTACCAGGTAAGAGCTGCTACAGTGCTCACAGGTATCGGTAACAGTATCCACCTGCCCTTCGAGATGAGTCGCCCGAAGGCGCTCGAGAGTGACCGAATGGCATCGCCGGCACAACAACGCACTGGACTGCCGAACCCATCCTTGCAGATGAGAAGCGAGAACCCCAGATAATCGACGAGTCGAGACGTACAGCCGTTCATTCTCAGATCTCAGCAGG